GGACGGCGGTATGACGGGGACGGCGGTGCGACCGTCGCGGGTGTGTTTCAGGTGCTGGACTCGCAGTACGGCATGTACGTGTGGCCCTGCGCCGTGGTCCTGGCCCAGTACCTCTGGGTCCACAGGAGGAGCCTGCCCGGCAAGAGGGTGCTGGAGGTACCGCTGACAGGCCCTGCTCGACCCCCGCCCCGTTCCACAGCTGCAGGGGCAGCGTCCCTGTTGCAGCACTTTGTGGTTTCAGATCGGTGCAGGCGTGAGTCTCCCCGGAGCGGTGGCTGCCAAGTGCGGTGCTGAAGTCATCCTGTCCGACAGCGAGGAGCTGCCCCAGTGCCTGCAGCGCTGCCGCAGGAGCTGCCTGATGAACGGCCTGCCCCACGTACCTGTCATCGGGCTGACTTGGGGGCGGATATCGCCAGAGCTGCTCTCACTCGCTCCTGTAGATATTATTTTAGGATCGGATGTCTTTTTTGACCCAAAAGGTATGTTAATACTCCCGGGTCTCTTTGATTTGTGACAAACTGCAAGGACTTCATGTCCAAGGAGTACTGGGAATGCTGTCAAAAGATCAGGTGACAGACTTTATGATGATACCATGCTATTAAACTTGTTATTCTTGGGGCAATTCTAGCATTAAGCTATCATAGAAATACCACCAGCATAGATTAACTCACTGCTTAGTTGAGGCTATGCTTCTTAGGTCTCTCATACAAATGTAGTTAGTCTTGTATTGATTTTTAATTGCCATTTCATATAACCAGGCATATTTAACCATACCTAGAATCCAGAGACTAACAAAGACTGCTTAATCTCCCCAAACTACACAGACTTTGAAGATATTTTAACTACAATTTACTTCTTGCTGGAAAAGAATCCACATGCTCAATTCTGGACTACTTATCAAGTCCGAAGGTAAACACTTTTGCATATTTTAAGACTCAAATCTTAGCTCCTTCTTGGCTGTTAGAGTGTTAACTTCTCAGAGGCACCACTGCATTGATTCCAAAGCAGTTCCTCGCAGACTGTGAATGAGGCTGGTATTAGCCAAGTAAATTCTAGGGGTATCGGACAAAAGCAGACAAACCAGAAAATAATGCAAGAACTGCAAATTTACTGTTGACTAGAAACCCGTTACAAACTCAGTTTTGTGAACTGTTAAGTTTGGTGACAGTCTCCTAGAATTACTGCAGAAGTTATAAACTTGGGATTATGTTTTCACACACTAGTATTTCCTCCCCTCAGTGCTGACTGGTCTATTGAAGCTTTGCTTTGCAAATGGAAACTGAAGAATACCCACATTCCCTTACATTCATTCAGTGCAGACAAAGAGCACTTGGCCAGTTCTTCTCTGCCAGGAAGACATACAATTGAAATGATGATCATCTCACTAGCACAATCAGATGGTACTTAAGTTTATTCTGCTTGTTGGTTCCAATACAAGAGGACATTTAACTGTTCACAGTAGCATGGATCTGCAGAAAACAGTCCTGTTTAACAGCAAACCTCATGGATATGTTTTTGGGAAGTAAATCACTTCAGCAGTAATGCTTAGAACATGCATTGTAAAAAATAAAGCTGTCAATTGTTTAGCTATGGCTTTTGAGAAATTTGTGCTCCTCCCCAAAGACCATGTAATAGTTCAAAGACTCAATTCCATTATGTAAGCCACTACACAACATAGCTTAATAACCTGACAATCCACAAGATCCAACTTAAATTCACAACTTCAGCTATGAAGAAAAGTTAACTGCACTCTTTCAAGATAAAAAAATATCCCCGTGAGATCTGTTTCCCAGGACTGAAGCTCTTTCCCCAAAGATTCATATACAAAAGCCAGCCCCTTTGTTCTTAAATGAATCTGTACAGACTGCTGCTAGCAATGCAGTCCTGGAACATACAAACTCCTCAAGGTTGTAGAAAAGTACTTTTAATCCTCAATCAAGCCAGATTGCAAGTATTCAGATGTTTCCATTCCCATTTAACATACATGCATGAAGTTAACAAGGCATTACAATAACCCTTGACACGTGATGATTGAAGTTACAATCCATTTGGTATCCAAATAAAGAAAAAGATCATCCCTGTAAGATCAGCTACCATCAAGCAGCAGCCTGTTGAGTCAGGGCAAGCACACAGCAAATGCAATTAGTACTGCTCAGTGTGTATCTTCCATAATAATGTCCAACGGACCTGTCTGATTCTGTGTTTATTATAGTCTGGTGTGCAATACTTGCCATACAACATTTGGGTTAGTCACAATACTAGTTAAGTTTGCCCGCAGTAATTTAAAAGCGACCCCAGTAGATAAAATTTATAAGCAGTAGAATGCATTCAGTTACTATATAGAAGTTAAACATTGACAGTATAATTGCAGAAATCTTTTCAAGCTAAAAATAAGCTGACTCAGACATTAAGTTGAGAAAAGTTAACACAGAAAAATGTTTAATATTAACTACAGAGACAGTGGGTATAGTACAGAATGTCTTAAGCAAAAGATACACCAATCAGTACTTACAAAGGAATGAACCATTTCTTTTCTTAACATTACATTTCTCATATGTAAGTTCATATATGTAGGTTGGTAAGTTTTACCATTCTGGAAAAAATAAGGTGTGTATATCATCAGCTAGA